TGGTCCTTTAGTCCACTGGTCCCCTAGTCCTCCGGTCTCCTGGTCCTGTGGTCCGCTGGTCCCCTGGTATCCTAGTTCTTCTGTCTCCGAGCGCTCTGACAACGCCATGTAGGGCCTAACTTCGTGTGAACGCCGTGACTACTGCTACTGCTGCTACTACTACTACTACTCCTCCTCCTCCTGCTGCTGCTGCTGCTGCGGCTGCTGCTGCTGCTGCTGCTACTGCTACTGCTACTGCTACGCTGGTGCTGCTGCTGCTACTGCTACTGCTACTACTACTACCCCAACCATCCTCAGTGGGCTAGAATATTACTTTTTGATTACCTTTTTATTTTTTTTATGGATCCCCGTTGAATATTTTTTTGATTCTATTTTTATTTTTATTTTGATCCCTTACCCGATTTTCTGTGCCTAGTATTGGGTTGGATATTGATTCTTGATGGACATTGTAGTTTTTCCACATTTCTTTGTGACAGTAGGTCTCAGATGTAGTACCAACGGTTCTGGTCGTTTTGCACGTTTTCATTGGGCCAGGCGATATCCGGTGGTCCGACCTGATGTCCTGTGTCCAAGGTGCAGGACGAATCATGTACAAAGGCACCATGGCTGACCCCAAAGGGGTGGAGCCCACACATAAGCAAAAGGTGAGCGCTTTAGAGTTGTATGTTGTTGTTGTCCCAAAAGTAGGGATGATCAATCATGAATCTATATTTCATCCCACCTGATGGGAACAGAGTCAACTCAACATAGAAGTGGCACCACGGGAACTTTTGATTCACAAGGACTGAAGTTGTATGAATTTGTTACTTTGGCATACTTTGGCATGGGCAGGAAGATCTTGAGGAATGTATTGTGAGGAGCCAAACTTATACCCAGAAGATGCCGAAAAAAAGCAGGCCCAAGAACGCTTAGGAAGCTTGTGCTTCGTCAACAAAGACTCACCACCAGTGCAGCCTTCACAACATCCAGACCCACACATGCACGGAGCCAGCTGAAACCAAGGCAAACTCACCTTGAGTAATACACAGACAAGCTCAACAGTAAGCTCAACAACGGTTGTCTTCTTGTCCCCGTTGAGGGGGGGACCTGAATCATCCCATGTTGCTTCTCAGCTTCATCACGAGTCCCACAACCTCAGCGGAACCTCCATGACCTTCGGAACTGACTACTGTAGAGAGTCCCGCGATGGCCCTTGGCGATGGGCACTCGATCGTCGTGCAGCATGCTAAGGGGGAAGTTTCGGCGTTGAACAATGCACCGGAGCTGTTTGGACAGATGTGGGAACATCAGGGTTATATAGATACTGCGAATGGAAGTGCAGCGACGCGTACAGTGCAACTTGTACATATATATGTATCATATGTACTTTGGCTCAAGGCTCAAGATCAAGCGACTAGAAAAGGTGCGGTTTCCGTTCCGACGCTACGCCGCTTATGGACCGTCAGTGATAGCTTCAAACTACGCTGATTAAGATCCACTCGCAGGTTATCAGCCGTACGCGCTCTTTATAGCCGTACGAGCTACACGAGACCAAGAACAAGACTAGTCATTACAGAAACCTGCAATGTCAAGCTCAGGAGGAAATGGAAGCGAACCCTATTCATTCGCTGCTCCTGGTGGTCCCAACACCATTTCGTCGCCAGACTCTACAATGGGTACTGATTCATCAGCAAATGCTGACGTTATCACTATGCCTACTGGATCACAAATCTCGGAAAGATCCGTGCCACCGGCTCGGAATCTGACCGATCTTGCACCCGTAGGACCAAGAAGATCGATGAGAGCTACAACAAGATCTACATCGCCTATAACGTCTACCGCGAGATCCCCAAGAAGGAGTATAGAGAAGAGACGTGACGATGATAGAGGAACAAAAGAGCAAAGAAGAGAGATCCAGCTGGGTGAAGAATTGAGATCGGCGAGAAACGCATACAATTTTCTTCATCAAGAATATGAATGCATCCAAGCCGGATACTCACGACTACACCACGAGGCTGAAGTGGAGTTCAGGCAAATGTCTGACTACAACAGGAAGATGCAGGAACATCTACAGGAGATGACACAGGAGGATGAAGGAGCGACAATAAGAATTGAAGAGCTCGAACACAAACTACGCTTGGCGGAATCGACAGCTGAACATATCTACATGAGATATCAAGAGCTTGCATAAGAAACTCATCAAGAACATTCAGAGCTTGAATCTGTGAAAGCAACGAAGGACAGAATGTCCCAAGAGCTTCAAGCAGCGATTGGACACATCCAAGAACAGAATGAATCTTCATTGGCGATCAATAGAAGATCAAAAGCCATTCAGGATGAGAACACAGCCTTCGTCGGAATAGCAGACCAGATACAAGCTAGAATGATTGCGCTACAGGATGAGAATGTCAACATGCACGAGGTGATCCAACACCAGAGAGAAGAACAATGGAACAGTGAGGTCAGGGAAAGACGTCTTCAACACAGTGTTCACTCATCTCAAGATCAGAGCAATCAGGAAGCTATGGTTATTGATCATCTACGAGGTCAACTAGCTATGGCACGTGGAGCTGAACTCAACGCGAGAGCGGAGATAGGAGAGATGGAAGTGGGCATGAGGATGGAGATGTTTATATGCCAGACTGAAGTCTCTGCTAAAGAAATGGCAGAAGTGAAGGCGAGCCACCATGAATACGAAGCAAACGTCGCAAAGGAGGTTATCGCAAAAGGAGAAATATTCAACAACGAAGTCCTAGAAAGTTCCATCCGTGAACGACAACAATTGAAAGACGTCAACCTCGCTCTATCCGAAGCCAACGCGCAGCTGAAAAGAGAGAATATGATGAGAGCCCCTATGTTCGGCGACGATGGTGCTGAAATTCAACAGAAGATCAGAGAACTGGAGGATGCATTATTGGAAAGCCAGAAGGAGACAAAGAATGTCATTATGGAAAATGCGAAATTAAAAGCAGAAGCGCGAATGGCACCCATAGTCTCTCGATACAGCAAGCGTCCTAGTTCCAGAGACCGCGGGTTACCAACCCACGCGTCCGAGGAAGATGAGGTTCGGAACGCAAAAGAGGAGGCGAAGCACTACAAGGACGGGTACAATGAAATGACAGAGAGCCGAGATGAGATGTATGAATGGTATGCCGAAACCCACAATGAGTACGCCGAGGAAAGGGAGAAATCAATTGAGCTATCCGAGGCGAACAAATCATTGAGGGACAGGATTTCAGAAACAGAGGCATCCTCTTCATCTCATCTTGCACCGGCAACCTCTACTGTCATGAAAGTATCGAGGAAGGAAGAGTCAAAGATAAACGTTCCGTCATGGCCCAGGATCAATGATATTGGACTATGGAAGGCAAATCTCATTCAATCAATCATCATTGCGGCCAATGATTCAGATCAAGAGCCCTGGATCGACTGGATCAAAGAAGCCATGGACGATCCTGATCCGGACAAGTTTGTCGACTCAGGAGACCAAAGATTCCATTCAATCGATGCCAAACTCGGCCTAGCTCTTACCAAGGTCGTCATGGATGCGAAAGATGATGGTTCAGGTGTAGCTATGAAGTTGAGGACGAGGATCAATGCAAAAGGGAGAACATCAAGCCTCATAAAGGGAAGAGAGGTCCTAGCCCTGATCCTTATGAATTTCAAGACAACATCAAATGTGGAAGTCTTATATACTTCAATGCACCTCTACCAACTAGAATATCAAGGAGACAAGAACTTATCGTTGTTCTTCCACACTTGGGATGAGATTCTGGCAGGAATGAAACCCGTTGACGTCCCGAGCGACGAAACTCTTCGGGATCTCCTATGGAGAAAGATCAGGAACTCAAACCTCATGGCATACGACATCAGCGCCTACAACAGCATGAACGACGATGATGCCAAGAAGACATACAAACATCTACGTGATATGATCAGAAGGCACATCGAACGGCAAACTGAAGACAGGATGATCCTGGAAAAGGAGAAGGCAGTGAAGAATGTGGCCAATATCTTTCAGAATCTCAAACCAGGCGGACCTGCCCCAAAACTGAAAGCTGCACCAGCTGATCCGAAGAAGAAACCAAAAGGGCAACAAGAACAGGTTGTCTCAGAAGACGCTGCTGCAGTGAAGCCGAAACCCAATCCCAAGAAGCATCCTGAAGACAAGAACAAAAAGGGAAAGGGGAAAGGTAAAGGTGATGGAAAGGATCGCAGCCGAAGTCCGAGTACAGACAAGAAGAAGATACCGTGCAAATTCTTCGTGAAAGGTAACTGCACTATGGGGAAAGATTGCCCATTCAGTCACAAGAAACCCAGATCACCATCCAGAGGATCTTCCGTCGGAAAGAATGACAAACCAGTATGTTGGATGTGGATTCGCGGAACTTGTGACAAAGGGAAGGATTGCAAGTTCTACCATGACCCAAAAGCCTCTCCTA